TGAGGGTTTCTTAGGGGGGTTGTAAGTATGGGGAGGCACTTCCCGTTTGGGTGGAGAGGGTGGCGGAGGGGGAGAGCGGGGAGTATGTGGACATTTTCACTCTCTTGCCTCTGGAGCGTTTTTAACGCGTCGTTAGAGGGTCGAGAGGGGGATGTGGGACGACTCGTCATTGGGTAGCGAGATTGGGTCGCTGAGGGTAAGGTGCGCGAAGGAAGCGAGCAAGCGTCGTTTTCGTTTTATCCCGCGGACCTTTGCGAATTGGGATGCAGGCATTTGCGATCATGGCCAGTGTCATTGGGGAGAATGACTCCTGAGCATTGCTCAGCTCTCTTTTGTTATCTGGATGCCATTAGCGAGGCTAACAGGGTTTTACGGTGGGACCGCATGGCTTCGATACGACGAGCAGTTTCGGCAGAGGCGGGCTGTTCGCCCTTCATTGCGTTGGGACCATAAGGACATTGGCCTTTGGATGCGCCTCATGACTCCCGTGCGGGCTCCCGGTCCGTTTTTTTCAGGGTGGGGTCGGTGGTTCATTCTCTCCAGGACAATCGGCCTCAAAGCGTAGGGGTGTATGTTGGCAGTTCCAAGAGGGCGCGTGTCGTTTCGGGGGGTCCTGTCGTTTTAAACATGAGTGTTCAGGTTGCGGCGGATCCCATCCTTTGTCGCGCTGTTTCAAGCGGGGTAGAGGCCTGCCCGGAGAGCATGCGAGCAAGAGGAACAACTCCGGTGAAAGTAGAAAGGATGAGGCCTTTCCTAAATAGATATCCGGATCGAGCAGCCACCGGGCTGCTGTTGGCTGGTTTTTCGGAGGGTTTTTCGTATTCCGTGTAGTTTGACTTCGATCCCCCCTTTAGCTCGTAACTTACGGTCGGCGGTGCAGCATGCTGAGGTGGTTTCGGCGAAGTTGAGTAAGGAAGTGGGGTTGGGACGTATGGGCGGGCCGTTTTCTTGCGCTCCGTTTGCAGATCTGGTGGTTTCACCCTTGGGGGTGGTGCCCAAGAAGGAGCTGAATTCGTTCAGGTTGATTCACCACCTGTCTTTCCCCAAAGGGGGGTCGGTTAATGACGCCATCGATCCGCAGTCCTGTTCGGTGTCTTACACATCGTTTGATGCGGCAGTTTTCTGGGTTCGTCGTTATGGGCGCGGTTCACTTATGGCGAAGTCAGATATTGAGTCCGCATTTTCGCTTGTTGCCGGTACATCCGGATAGTTTTCGTTTTCTGGGTGCCATTGGCAGGGCTCGTTTTACGTTGATAAGTGCCTTCCCATGGGGTGTTCGATTTCTTGCGCATTGTTTGAGCGGTTCAGTTCGTTCTTGGAGTGGGTGGTGCGGGATGTCTCCGGGATAAATTCGGTCATCCATTATTTGGATGATTTTCTTTGCGTGGGTCCGCCCGCTTCCAGGGTTTGCGCGGTTTTGTTGGCTACGTTGCAACACGTTGCTGACCGTTTCGGGATTCCATTGGCTTTGGATGCCATGGAGTGCCGGCTGCCAGGGGGACAAATTGTTGGCCCTACAAGGGGAAATTCGTGGGGGTGCTGGGCAAGCGGAAAATTCAGCTACGGGCCTTGCAGTCGTTGCTGGGTAAGCTGAACTTCGCTTGTCGTATCCTGCCGATGGGGCGAGTTTTTTGCCGACGGCTGGCGGCGGCGACGGCGGGAATTACTTGCCCTTTGCATTTTATTCGTTTAACTAGGGAACATCGGGAGGACTTGCGGATTTGGCATACCTTTTTGGATGACTTTAATGGATGGGCGCTGTGGATGTCGGGACCAGTCAGTAATTTTGACTTAGAATTGTTCACGGATGCGGCGGCTTCCGGGGGATATGGGGCCTTTTTTAGGGGGCGGTGGAGTGCGGCTCCGTGGCCTTCTTCTTGGGCTGCGGCGGGTTTCCTTAGTAACCTGGTGCTGTTGGAACTTTTTCCGGTGGTATTGGCGGTTGAGGTTTGGGGTGAAAATTTTAGGAAACAGAAGGTTCGTTTTCATTGCGACAACTTGGGGGTTGTTCAGGTCATCAACCGGGTCTCGGCTTCCTCGCAACAAGTGGTTGGCTTGCTTCGCCATTTAGTGTTGCGTTGCTTGCAGCTGAACGTTTTTCTCCATGCTGTGCATCTCCCTGGGGTTGATAATATCTTGGCTGACGCTTTGTCTCGTTTTCAGTGGGACAAATTCCGAGAGTTGGCGCCGGCGGCAGAGCAACACGGGGTTCCTTGTCCCGACTGGCTGTGGGAGATTGCCTTGGGGTCGTTGCAGGTTGGATCCGGAGGTCGGTGAGTGAGGTGACATGGTCGGCATACTCGAAGGTCTGGCGAGAGTGGCGGGATTTGTTACAACAGGTCGAGATAGATCCGTGGGGCCCGGAGGTAGGGGTGGCTGTTTTGTATTATTTGGCAAGGAACTTGGAACGGGGGGTGTCGGCTGCTGCGGTGGATAGGCGGTTGGCTGGCTTGGCCTTCCTCTTTAAGCTTCAAGGGTGTCGGGACTTCACGAAAGAATTTTGGGTACGACAGGCTCTTCGAGGTTACCGTAGGGCTTGTCGCAGTAAGGATTCTCGTCGTCCGGTGTCCTTCGAGTTGTTAGGATCATTGTTTGAGCATCTGCGCTGTGTTTGCTTTTCAGAGTTTGAGGTGTGCTTATTTCGGGCGGCGCCTTTGCGGTGGCTTTCTTTGGGGCATTGCGTATTGGGGAGCTTGTCAGTCCATCCAAATCCGTTCTTGGGGCGTTGTTCGGGGATGATGTCAGGGTCTCTAGTGATTGGGTGGAGGTGTTCGTCCGTCGGTCCAAGACAGACCAATTGGGTCGTGTGGTGCGCGGGTGAGGTTTTTTGCCCTTCCTACATCATTAGTGTGCCTGGTGCGGGCGGTTCGTGACTTTTTGTCCCGTCGTCCGGTGGGGAGTGGCTCTTTTTTCATGCATGAGGATGGGTCCCCGTTAACTCGTTTTCAATTTGTGTCGGTTTTTCGACGCTGTTTGAAGGTTGTGGGTTTGGATGCATCTTTGTATGCTTCTCACTCGTTTCGGATTGGGGCGGCTACTGAGGCCGCCCGGTGGGGTTTGTCAGATGCGGCGGTGAAACGTATTGGTAGATGGGATTCCCAGAGGTTTCGCTTGTACATTCGTCCGCATCTGTTGGGTTGATTAAGGTTGGATCCCGGGTTGTTGTCCCTGGGTTGGGTGGAGTTTGTCCTGTCTCTGTGCCGTTTTTTGTTCTGGTGGTAGTTCTTGCTCTTTTATTTCAGATGGAGCGGTGCGCCTGGTGTGGATCCTGGGGCACTCCTACGTTTTTTGGGGGGCCAGGCGGGTGGATGTGAGGCCTAATGGGCGACAGTTGGGATTGACTAGACAGGAGGCTTGCGTGCGATGGATAGGTGTGCCGGGGATGTTGTGGGGGTCGTGTGGTGCCTGAAGTTCGGCGTTTTGCTAGTCTGGATAGGCCACCGGATGTTCTGTTATTGCATGCGGGGGGTAATGATCTGGGAGTTCGGTCCATGCGGGAGTTAGTGAGGGACGTAAAGATGGATTTTCTGCTATTGCGGAGGGATTATCCGGACATGGTGTTGGTATGGTCGGATATGGTAGCCCGCGCCTCTTGGCGTTTGGCGCGGTCGGTGGAGCGGCTCAATAAAGCGCGGATAAAGGTCAACAAGGAGGTGGGGCGCTTTTTTATTCGGAATGGGGGGTTGGTGGTCCCGGCATTTGGAGTTGGAGGTGGATACCTGGCGGTATCTGCGGAATGATGGGGTACATCTTAACGCAGTTGGGACGGATTTGTGGTCTCTGGGTTTACAGGATGGTGTGCAGAGAGCAGTCCGTTTGTGGTGGGGCACGCATGGGTAAGGGCTTACCCAGCGTGTTGTGGGGCGGTTTGTTGGTCTTTGGAGGCGGGTATTATCTTGAAGGTACAGAGAATGGTGTGGGACCCATCGGTGGTATGGTGTGCCCGGGGAACATTCCAGTTAACCAAGGTTTAACTGGAATGTGGTGGTGCTGCACTGCGGACGGTAAGGTTGTCTCCGAGCTGGGTGGTTGCGGCTGGAGGCCTGGTGGTATATGGGGTTCGCAGGTGCATTTCAGATAATTTCTGGATGGGGCCTTCGAAGACCAACAACAAATTGGTATGTTTTCTGTATAAGGAATTGGTTTGGTGTTTAAAATTGTGTGGGTTAATAATAAAAGGCCACGTTGGCCATTTACTCCAAATCGGTGTCATGTTTTTATTTAAGTAAGAGTTATAGGTAAGGGGATCTGGATGAACCAATCTCTGGTGCACTAGTCAAGCAATTGTAATTATTTTATAAAATCCTGTTTTGATCTCAGGTGCTGCTGATCTCCTGCAGCACCTTCCTTCCTACATGGACTGCAGTGTGGGCTCCATGGCATGTCTAAGGGCGGGTTTCCTGATGGTGACAACAGTGGAGCATGCCTGTGCAATGTTAGTTGACAAGACCATTTTTAGTCTCCATCAGAAGCCCATGTGTGACAAGCTGGCAACACAGGATCACAAATGGGAGAGAGAGACAGAGCGTTGTCACCCTATAACAGGAAGTGCCTGAACAAGGACCTTCATAGCAGGATTACCAAGGATTATTTTAATAAGATTTGCAGATGTTAAAAAATGTTTAAATTACTTTTGGAATGACATTAACATGTTAAAAATTATATAAGATTTTGACGATTGGATTTCCGTCTACTTTAAGTCATAAAAGCTTGAAAGGTTACAGGGAGTGTTCTCTGTCAGTGAAGCGAGCTGTGCGTTCGATAATTGTATTTGCATATTTCAGCACGGATTGATATAAATATTTGACATGAAATTTATGTAATTCCTCCATACACATAAAATAAGACAGGTCAGTGAATGAACCTTCATTCTGCAAATTCCTGGGTATGTTATAATCCTTCTGTACATAGAAAGACTGACAATGTCCTATCATTATTAATAACACCATACAGAATAAGGACAGATACCGAGAATTACACCCGGCATACGGGACAGGTGAAGTGGGACTGTGCAGAGTCCATACATACAGAATAAGGGCAGATACCGAGAATTACACCCGGCATACGGGACAGGTGAAGTGGGACTGTGCAGAGTCCATACATACAGAATAAGGGCAGATACCGAGAATTACACCCAGCATACAGGACAGGAGAAGGGGGACTGTGCAGAGTCCATACATACAGAATGACAGATACCGAGAATTACACCCGGCATACAGGACAGGAGGAGAAGTGGGACTGTGAAGAGTCCATACACACAGAATAAGGACAGATACAGAGAATTACACCCGGCATACAGGACAGGAGAAGTGGGACTGTACAGAATCCATACATACAGAATAAGGACAGATACCGAGAATTACACCTGACATACAGGACAGGAGAAGTGGGACTGTGCAGAGTCCATACATACAGAATAAAGACAGATACCGAGAATTACACCCGGCATACAGGACAGGTGAAGTGGGACTGTGCAGAGTCCATACATACAGAATAAGGACAGATACCGAGAATTACACCCGGCATCCAGGACAGGAGAAGTGGGACTGTGCAGAGTCCATACATACAGAATAAGGACAGATACTGAGAATTACACCCTGCACACAAACTAAAAACTGATATAACTTCTGTTATCATTTCAATAAGATGTTAACATATCAAAACACTGCTACTTACTGCCTTTTTTTTCTTTTTTGTATACTTATGCAGGCCATAGATGGGGTTGAAATCTGGCAATTTTTTGGCCGATATTAAAATTGTCAGATATCCGTGCCGTGTATGGGTCATTTTGTCATCCATTTTTTCGTGTTTTTTGCTCGTTTGGATTATTGGTGTGAAAACATGGCCCCCTGAAGAAGCCAGTCTTTAGCCCATACTCTGCTCTTCCTTGGTTTCTTACATTTTTTTTCCTCGTCAAATGATAAAAGGCCAAGCATTACAATGGCCAGTTTTTGTCTTTGTTTTCGGGGAAGTGGCATTTTCAACAAAGAAAACATAGAAAAAGCGAAAATTCGTACGAATGACACGTTGCTAAAGTCTACTTCCATCAGGTAACGTAGAGAGGGAGGGCCGCGAAGGTCACAAACTTACGTCATTTCTCCAGTTTGAGGTTACGATTTTCAAGACTTTATCCACCGATTTTTGTAATAATTGGTGGTCATGTTGGCTTTCTTTATCGGACGAAAAATCGGGAGAATTTTAAAACACATCTATGGCCTGCATTACTTTGCTACTTACTGCCTGTCCAGAGCAGGGAAACTTCCAACAGCTAAATACCCATTTTATAAGGGGAAATCATTCTGTATCAGTGCAAAATATTTTGTAAATTGATCACTGTGATGAGAAGAACCCCGTCAGATAAAGTAATACATGTGTGCAAAATATTTCTTGCTGCTAAATGTACTAACACTGAAAAGTGTAAGGCCTCTTGTAAAAGAACCTACTGTGGCAGGCGCAGCACCCTTTGGTGCCTTGTGCGCTGTGGCATTAGAAAAATTATGCAATTGCTGTTTCTTTGTTTAATTAGATACTTTAGTCTTAACTTCTTTAATAAACTTCAATCTTCTTCATATAACTGCTTACAATGGCTTTGTTTCAATTTATCATACAGTAGTTATTTCTTTATATTACAGTGGTTTGATTTGATAGCTTGATAAATTTGTTAAGATTCAGTAAATTCGATTTGCTATATTCGATTCGATAAGTTCGTTATATTCGTTCGGTGGAACTACAAGTAAAACACAACACAACAGTTTCAACACCACAGATTCACCTGCACTGCCAAACAATAGAGGAACACACAAGTGCATTAAATACCTATTTGGTCCCTGCTCTGCCTCCATAAAGCTCTTCTGATTGGAACTGTCTGTTTCCTCTTCTGTCTGGGTGAGCATGTCCCTCTCTAGGAAATCCTAGCAGGGAGTTTTTACACAGGCATAGATGTGAAACTGGCTGGGATTGGTTAAGGCTCTGTACAGTATGAGGCTGTCTGTGATTGGCTCATCTTTAAACTAACTCTTAAAGGGCATTTTTCTCCTTTTCTGCTTCTGCTAACACAATGAATATATAAATGTCATATAACAAAGACATAAATTACAGCAATGATTTTTGCTTTTTTTGGTTTTTAACATATGCACATATATACTGTACTGAGGTTATTGGCAGATTTAGGTATACACATATATGTGAACCATATTAACAACCTAGGACTGGTCTTAGTCCTGGCCAGCTAACACTCCCACCAAAATTACCTATAATTCTATGTTCTCCAGTAATAGGATTCAAACATGAATTCGAGGAATTTTCCATCAGTTTCTCAACTCTCAAGTGTCTTTGTTACTCTCAAGCAGAACAACTAACTTTTGTATTGGACGTTCCAACTTGAGTGGAGTTGTGAGACGTTTTTCCCTTTTTGTCGAGTAGTTTTGAGTCTCCCCCATTTGTAAGAAAACTCTTCTTACTAGTCCTTCTTCATCCCTTTCGAGCTTCTAGGGACTTTGGCCAATTTCCATTGACTTCTTGGCAACGTCGTCTTCCTTTCACTATACCAGTAACCACCTTCTCTCAAAAACAGCTTTGAAGTAAAGCTTCTTCCTTGATGCAAGGATTTTGTTGTGGTAGTGATTGATAATCAATCTTGTGAAGGTAGAATTTTTGGGTAGAATTGCTGGATGCTTAACTCTGTTAGGTAGCGATGCATTTTCCAGCCTCCCACCCACTCTTCAGTATACCATCCTGCAGAATAAGATTTAAGCTTGTACAATGGGTGGTTGTTTGGAAGTCTCTTAGGTTTCTTGACTAAGTCTCTTCAATTCTTCACTGTAGAATCTTTGATGAATGAGTCTTTATAACCGTTTCTTCAGCTTTCACTCTTTCCTCTACATTCAACGATTCTTTCTTTCTGATTCCTTTTGCTAAGCGTTTAATTCGAGCTACAATGTTTTTATGACTGTATTCACTTTGAACATCTGGCTAGTCGTTCAAGTATGTCATCTTGACACTTGGCAGCAGTGCTCAATGTTTGAACTACCTTTACTCTCTGGATCACCCATAGACAGTTCTGTATAACCTTCACTGGGTATGATTTCCTTTTCCCAAAGGAACTCTGGACCGGTGTGAACCCAGTTTGAATTCTTCAATTCTGTTACATTTAGGCCTCTTGAAGCATGATCTGCCGGGTTTTGCTTCGTGTCACATAGTGCCAATGTTCTGGATTCGTTGTTTTCTGAATTTTTTTAACTCTGGTTAGCGACAAAAGTGCTTGGAATCTTCGAGCTTCAATTGTTTATGTAACCTAGGACAACTTGTGAGTCTGTCCAAAAATTCTCTTCATCTATTTTATTCAATTCCAACTATCTTCTCTCAGAAACTGACTTACTGAGCTGAAACAACGGCTGCCGTTAGTTTCGAGTCTTGGTTTATTGTCTGAATATTGTTGGGTAGCGACTCTGGCCTTTCCCATAACTAGGGCACAGTGTATCTTTTCTTCTCCTATTACTCTGATGTAGGAGCACTGACCATAACCATGACTACTGGCATCTACTTGAAAAGTGATGAAGTTCTATTTTCTTGTACTTTCCAAAATCAGGAGGTACAAAACATCTGGGTATTCGAATTTCTTTCAAATTTTGCAAGTCTCTTATCCCACTCTCCCACCTTGGCCTCAAGCCTGCAGGTATGGGTTCGTCCCATCCCAACTTCTGTCTGCATAATTCTTGCAGTATTTCTTTTTGCTCTGAGGATTACTGGTGATAGGAATCCCAACGATCATATATTGAGGCTACTGTGGAAAGAATGGTACGTCTAGTTGGAACTTTCTCTTCCATGGATATTTCAAAGAAAAAATTGTCGTTTTCTACATTCCATCCCAATCCGAGTACATTTGAACTGGAAGAGGAATCATAGTTAAGATCCACATTCTTTATTGTTGATGCACGTTCGGAGTCACTGATGGATTCTAGTAACCTCTCTGTCGTTTTGAGATGAATTTGTGAAGACGCAGGTTTGCCTTTGCGCATAACTCTTAACTCTGTCTCACCAACTGAATTGCCGATTCTGAGGATTCTAGGCTTATAAGACCATCATCTACATAAAAGTTTTTCTTCAAAAAATTTGCTGCCTTGATGGACAATCCTTTTCATTTCTGATTGGCCAGATACTTCATACCATAATTAGCACAACCTGGGGATGATGCTGCTCCAAACAAGTGTACTTTCATCCTGTATTCTGCTGGCTCTGTATCTGTATCTCCTTCTTCCCACCATAGGAACCTCAGGAAGTCTCTATCTTCTTCCTTCACATGAAATTGGTGGAACACATCTTTTCAATGTCGCACATGACTGCTATGGGATACTTTCTGAATCTACAGAGTACTCCAGGTACAGTGTTTGTAAGATCTGGTCCCCTTTAGTAGATGATTGTTCAATGCAACATCATTGTACCTTGCTGAGCAATCAAAAACTACTCTGATCTTATCTGGTTTCTTTGGGTGATAGACACCTTGATGTGGGATGTACCACACTTCTCCATTTTTAGGCTGACCATCAACTTTCCTCTGCATGCCCTTCTTTGAGGATTTCTTTCATGAAATTCAAATAATCGTCTTTTTGAGTTTGGGATCTCTTCCCATCCTTTTCTTTAAGCTTTTTCAATCTTGCCAGGGCAAGATCTCTGTTATTTGGCAGATGAGGTCGTTCTCTAAAAGGTAGGGGGCATTTCAAGATAACCTTGTTGATTTTGCTGAATATTATCTTCTAGAACTTGTACAAACTTTTTTTTATGTCCTCTTGGGAGACACTCTTTTTCATTACAACTTAACGTCTGCAAAGTTGGATTCTAGAATTTTGAGTACTTTCGCGATGGACTTACAGTTGGTAACTCATTGGACAGATATTCTATGACACAATCCTGTCACCTGTCCTGAATCTGCAATCTGTCGTTTTTCTCCAACAACACCCCATCCTAGATCAGTTTGGACTGCATAGGGTTCACCCTTTCCTCCTGCGATTATCTTTCGTGGCACCAACGCCTCGGGACAGTCATAGCCTATCAACAGTCCAACACCAAATTCCTTCAGCGGGGACATTTCATGAGATATGACAGATAGGTGTTCCCATTTGTTGGCTGTTTCACAGGTAGGTATGCGATCTCGATCCAGAGGTATGTCGTCTTTTGTATAAGCTGGAGGTAGATCTAATATGCAGTTTGAGTGGAGTCCTCTAACTCTCAGTCCTTTGACTCCTTTGACTGTTCACCAATGTGTCTCTTCCTGTCATTGTGGTGAGTTTGAGTTTCACTGGTTCTGTGGCCACTTGTAATTTCTTGCAGATTTCTTGATCAATGAAGGTGACGTTACTCTGGGCATCCAGTAGCGCATAGGCGTATACCTTCTTGTTCTTCCTTTTAGGATTTGAAATACACA